TCACACAAATAATTTTACATATAAATCATTTCACATAAATAAAAAGATCATTTCCCACAGACAAACAAAGTAATAGTTGTTACGATCGAATGCAAACCGCGCGCATTAACTAGTGATAACATCATAATGACCATATAAGGTAATCGTCGGTATGTGGAGCCAAATTGTTCTGGCCAAGCCAATTTATTCTTTATACGACTTCGAAAATTCCTGGTTATCAATTATCATTTTTTGCGGTTAGAAGAAATGGTTTTATGTTGAAAGATTGCCATGATCTAAGATAGCTTTAAAACTTATTTCAGACAGATTGGTTTTATTTGAATTGAAAATAAAAAAAACAAAACCTATTAACATCATCTTTAAAACATCAGTGTTCAGAATAAATACACTTAAGTTTACATTTAACGTGGACCAAAAACAAATGTATTAAAAATCCAAGTAAATTTAAATAGCGCTGAAGAACCTATTTTGAATTGTTAGTTAGTGAATTATTAGCCTTAGCTAAGTCAACGTTAACATAGTTTTGAACTTATTTGAGTAAGTCAAGATCTGTTTCGCTGCTTGGATTTCAAGGCCTGAAAGCATAACACAATTGTATCAAGAGATATTTGTTCATCTACTTATCCAGGGATTATATATCTCTATCCTACTTAATGCTATAATTGCATAGTTTTTTTTTCTCCTACATTCCATCCATTAAATCAGATACTCAAAGTAATTGGATTCAATGACATATAGGCTTACCCAACTTGCCCAGTCTGCTCACAAAAATCTCTTTATTCGTAATCCCTTTTGACGTAATAAAATATTCATACAACGGATGGTTGGGTTGCCCGAGTGCCAACAAAATCATCTCTCCAGCAAAATGTTCTTTAAAAACTTGACTTAACGCTTTAATTCTTAACTCTTGTTCTAAACTTTTTGTTGATTTTTTTTTCATAGTAATTACGTGTAGGCATGTAGCTGATCCCATGACACTCGATGTAACTAAAATGTAATGCTACTAATTTGATGATAAAAGAATATCTTAATTATACTTTTTTTAAGACAACTCCCGCACTAGAAATATATCCATCGTCATGTCCCATCGCAGGGGACGTTACAAACATTAATGAAATGGATACAAAGAACATCTGGACTCAAAAAAATAATTTGTCTACATCATGCAATACAAATCAGTCTAATTGTCAATTAGGTTAGTTGAAGTTCCTACTAAGGTCTTTCAAAATAATTATTTACTGAGAACTAAGAAAACTGAAGACCACACAAGACGGATATTACAATTCTGGACAGGACTTTCAGTTTAAGTCTTCCCACGAATTAGTCTTGGTTTGGCTTGATAGTAGTATGATTATGAACCAGAACGTAGAAAGGGGAACTCCTCGCTCTTAATATGATTTTTATTGTATTAAATGATAGAGCCCATGTCGCAGTTGATATCCTTGTCAATGTACAGAAACTTCTTTTAGACAATAATAACTATTTTAGTATGTTCGATAAATGAAAAGTTTATTTCTAAAACTAATCCTTAATAACACACTGAAGTTTTATTTTTTACAGTGACATTGACAAATTTAATGCTCGGCGGTGAATTGTAGTTACCTTTTAAAAGTAGCTGGAAGCTTTTGTTGGTGCAAAATTTAAGCGATTTCGTTCACCCCAATGAGATATTAAGTTCAAATATTTAATTTGGCTAATTTCTCAAGCCCCGCCCTTGTATCAGATTCCACCAATAATAAACCGTCATCAGCATTCGCGTTCAGAGTAAATCCAGATGGTATCGTTATCGCAAGAAAATCGTCGAAGCCGATATTCCATATGTATGGACCTAGCACTGATCTCTGAGGACATCTTATTGTAAACGCCTTCGACATAGAATGATGACCAAGTTTTAGTTAAATGCACCTTGTGAAAAGTAAGAAGTGATAACTGAATAAACATTATCAAAGCACCCCATCATTTATATTTCAGCAACAGCATGTATCACCATGCGTTGTCGAAGGCGCCATATAACATATGTCTAAGAAAATAGCCAACACGTATTGAAATTTTGACTCTGTAACAATCTCCCTTACTGATATAACCGAATTAATTGTCGATTACCCCTACGTAAATCCAAATTGTCTATCATGAAATTTAACTCCACCCAGCAGAAGATTTTTCATCACACATCACAAAACACAAGCCTTTAACAGTCCACTTCTGAACTTTTCCCTGTCCTTAGAACGAATATTACCGCACCGCTAAATACGAAAATTCCTTTCGAAATGCAACGTTTAAAAACAATCAAAATCATGTCACCAGAGAGTTTAAAAGGTTCTTTTATCATTTTGTTTAATATTTTATCATCACCCGAAGGCTTTTTTGTTAGGTATCCGTGTGTAATCTTTTGTGCCTTGCCTCTTATGTAAGTGTGCCTCAAGTTAAAAAATAAAGAGAAGGTATTCAACATTTAACACAGTAGGGTTAGGTCTATTTGTCAAGATATTTAAGAGTAGCTAATCAGTTTCCCTTGTTAATTGTCATCAAACATTCGTGACAGCCACACATGCTTTGTTTAATACAAAAGCAAGACTACAACATATCCGGAGAGGATAAAATTGGAGTGACTGTTTGTAATATTAAAATAACCACTTTGTACTAAATGCATAAAATATTACAAACGTAATATTAAAATAACCACTTTTTACTAAATGCATATGTATGTTTACACCGTACATATGCCAAAATAACATTTTTTTACAATTTTTGTCTGTCTGTCAGTTTGTTCCGGGTAATTTCTGGAACGGCTGGACCGATCAACGGGACTTTCACTGGCAGATAGCTGATGACATAAGGAGTAACTAAGGCTACTTTTTTTAGACTAGCTTCGCCCCGCGGCGTTGCCTGCGTTTATAACAACAACAGTGAGTAAACGCGGCACCCACTTTGAACAGAGCTTTCTCATAGTCAAATGCTCATACAATATAAAGCCAACACGTTCTTTTGATATCTTTACGATGTCAGCTAACTCACGCAACTTCACTTTTCGATCATTCAAAACGATTTTGTGGTTTTTTTTTGTTTTCTGGTGTTACCGCCTCATTTGGACGTCCACTGCATTCTGCATCATCGGTGTCTCTACGACCACGTTCGAAGTCAGCAAACCAACGTTTTATTGTTGTTTCTGATGGAGCGGAGTCCCATAACACTTTTCAAGCCATTGCTTTGCTTGAACGGTATTTTTTCCCATCAAGAAGCAGTGTAAAATTAAAACACGAAATTGTTTTTGATCCATTGTTTTGAAAATAACAAAAGTAGCGTCACTCTTAGCACAATAACTCACAAACTAACGAATAGAATATCATGAAATTCTAACAGCTGTCTTTTGAAGGTTAGTATTAACTGAAAAAAAGGTGACTGCGATAAAACTAGCGCCATTTATGTGTTAGGCCCGGGACTTTGCAGCACATGTAATATTTATTTTAATTTTGTAGCTATGTCCTACTATTTTCGTCCCTATAACATAATTACACATTTCACCCAATTAATTAACGTATTCGAGTCTAACCCATTACCTTACCGTTTTAACTTTAAGATTTATTTAAATTGTAGTCGACGTTACAATGAAAAGGGGTGATTACAAAATGTACTGTATTTCACAGACAATGGTAGAATACAAAGGCAAGATAAATAAATATATTGGATGTTCTGAAACAAAACAATGGCGTAAAATGATTTAACGCCTACTAACGTTAATGCGATGTGAACGATACTTGGAGCAAAGATTTTTGCACAACTCTATGACATGTAATAGATCTCTGTAATACTTGATGTTAACTCGAAATCATTAAATTAGATTTTTCTTTATCTTTTACTTATTTTTTTTATATTTATATTTAAAATGTATGTGATCAACTATTACTTGTCCTTAGTCTGGTTGTTCTTTGTGTCTATTGAAAATTTCGTTTGGCCAGGAATTAAAAAGAACACGTTTAAATTTAAAATTTATTTTGGTTAATGTTAAAACAGATTGAAATATTAATTAATTGAAATCGGTAGGCTTTAATACAATCAATTAATGAATACATATTTGATAATAAATGTATTTTGTAAATAAACAAGAACTTTTTACTGTAAACTATATACATAGAAAATCTGCACACGAATACAGTACAATATTTGTGTCGATAATTAATTTTTATGGATGGGGGTGTAAACGAGCAGACGGGTCACCTGATGGAAAGCGACTACCGCCGCCCATGAACGCCTGCAAAAATTAAAAATATTCTCTGAAACAAATATATACATTCGTTCAGAGAACTCTATAAATCCCACCAAATGACCAAATAAATAAAAACTAAATAAATACTTTCATTGGCATAAAATAACATTAAATTTAGTTTCGATTTGTCGTTATAAATATTTTGTTTTATATAAATGATCAATATATTTGATCCATTATTACATATTATAGATAATTTAAACAGGTCAACGTATATTCTGGTCCCCTACTGCGTGTTACAACTATTTGTTAAACACCTAACACCCTGATTTAAATATTTTAGTGTTATTAACCTAAGTGCGCAAAATTAGTTTAAAAATGCCAAAAAGAGTATAAAGGAATCTATTGATATACATACAATATGTAGATCTTATATTCGATCTACATAACCAGTGTTATTAACCATCACTTTTTGCCTATCCTAGTTAAAAGTACTTTTGGCAAACTTCCAGTTATATGTTATTACATTTTTATTATCTATAACATTTTAACAATATCATAGCAACCAAGTTAGAAATTGCAAATCTTTTAAGTATTACTAGCATCATCACTTAATTCATTCCACTGTTAGACATAGGCCTTTTTCAATGATTTCCAAGAAGAACGATTGGAAAATCTACTTCCACCGTCAACATCAGTCATTTAGTTAGAACTATGGGATAGTGAAATTAAACAACATATTAAAACAACTTTAACCATTACGTAGCTAGACTTATTTTCTATTTTTGGCATTCATTTAAATAATGGCAATTTCTTCCAGCGGTTGTGAACGCAGGTATGTTTTGATGGCGTTGAAAATTTTCTTAACGGGTTTCTCCAACATGGGAATACCGAATTCTTGAGTTATCGCAGCCCATTGGTCATTCATGAAGGAGTGCATCGCGTCACCTGAGAAAATAGGTAAGAATCAGTTTGCCGTCGTTCGTAAGTTGTTAAAAAAATGTAAAATTATTTAAAAAATTACGACGTTTACCTAAGTTTATTTTTAAAATTGTATACCCACTCACCTAAATAACCCCCTAGAAAGTATTTTATTGGATTGGAACTATCTTTTCTGAACGTCTTAATAGTGAGGTTATTCATATGCAAAGCAAGCTGCTGAGCTGCTAATATACTCAATAAATCTTTTGCTTAAATAAATACTTGCCCCTATAATTCAAATTTAAATATACACTGTCACTAAAGGGTATTTTCTCTCTTTAAATGTCCAAAAAGACTAAAAACAAAAACTAACTTACAGTATAGTAAGAGTGGACCGTTTTAAAATGGTAAAAAATAAGGAAGATATTGCAATATTTACGATATAGTGAAAGCAGATACGAGTTAAAAACTTCATACGATGAACCGAGAATTTGATGAAAGTCACTGTCAGACTTACTCAGTACTTTGTTTCCATTAAAAAGATTCGTTAATTTGAAATGGGTGTTCACTCTGTTCTCGTAGGTGAATTTGTAACTCTTGAGGTCAATAACATCTTTTCCATTTTCGTTTTTTATAATTTCGTACACCATGGTCAAAAATATCTCGATTTTTTCTGTAAAAGTAATTTAGCATTTAGTATATTTAGGGCATTAAAACGTTTCATAATTTTCTCGTTGTAACAATTGTGCTACCTAAATTGACTATTAATTCTTTGAAATTTCGTAAAACTGAGGGTAACACAAAATCTTTTGTCGTTTTTACGGTCACCCGGTCAGGATTTTAAAATTAGATACTGGCCAAATCGAAAAGTGACAGAACTCTGTTAATATTAGAAATCTAAAACGATTTTGATTTTTTTAATAAAACTCGTGTATTTGCAGTCGGAAAGCTAATAAATTAAAATAAAATTTTCATGCAGTGAAAATGGCAGTGGAACTACTCAATACAAAGTATTTTAAAATGCATTTTTTTATCTACTATTATCTGCCTAATTTATCGGTTGTTTGTTATATACCTGACAGTCCAAAGAAACTGGGTCCATGATTTTTATTATCTGACACAAAGCTATAAACCCTTGACCTCAACTTCAGAGGTCAGATTTCTTTAGACCTTCTTTAAATATCAAGTACTTTAAGTGCGATTAGATGGTGAGCACGATAAAAAAAAAGAAAAAAAATAGTACTTACTAATTTTAAGAGTAATATCTCCATCACCGCTGATAGGGAGGATCAGCAATTTACCACTTGCTTTGTATTTGCCTTTCAAGACAATGGGGACATTGAAGGCAAACTGCATCACTTTTTTGGAACTGTCGAATCTGAAATGACCACGTTTATGATGGGATTTTTTTTGTTGTTAGAGCAATGCTAAAGTTCCAAAATTTTACATAAATATATTCTCATTTATGTGGACGTGATAGTATTTAATTAAATTAAAATGTTGTCTCAATAAATAGATTTATCATTATTACAATTAATTATTATTTAAAATCACTCACTGCACTTTATCAATTGTTGATTTTGACAATCCCTTAATTTCTGCATCTTTGACAGTCAATTTCAACCCTGAGAGATCAATATTGATAATGTCAATATGAACAGGTTCCAAGGGTTCTACACTCAATTCTGGAATACCTCCGGAGAACACTGAAACTACATTTTGCGCAGACTTTTGAAGACAGTCTGAGTCACCCAGGGAGCATTTCTGGATCGGTGGCACTGGAAATTAGAGAATAATATTTTGAAGCAAATGTCATACAAACTAAAGATAAGAATTTCTAATTTAGATGTTTGCTATATTCATTATATTCATTACTAGATTTACCTACGACTTCGCTCACTTTTAAAAAAATATTCCTACACCGGTCAAGCATATGCTTGAGGGGCAGGGCCATACAACAAAAAGGAACGTTTTTTTCTGTAACTCTGACAACTTTGTATGGCACAGCCCATCAGGCATTTGATAATGTTTGGTTGAGTAGTTAAGCCGTGTAAGCCAAGTCATATTACACGGATAACATTCGCATCGTGCCTACATTGTGGTATCTGTTTTCAACGGCATAATAACAGCTTTTTACTAAAAGCATCTATTTAAAAGTAAAAAAAGTTGTGTATTTGTCTTATTTGTTTTGGAAAATCTCCTTAATGATGAATCAATTTACAGAAGACTTTAGACTACTTGAGAAATAAACGATTCCGAGCAAAAACATGTACAAATACGTAGGTGCACTTAAGCAACGGCACTGGATGCTAGTAAAAATATTATCAAGTATGTTGAATATCTACTCTATTGATAATAATAAACTTTATTGTATTATAGCGTGTATTACAAATCCTAATTATGCAATAAATCTTAATGGCCTAGCTTAGTTTTTTATTAAAAATTAACGCGCTTGCCTCTATGATGTTATATCACGCTACCATTCTCAGCGTCGCAGTTACCATGAACACAGGTAAAACAAAGAGGAACGGCTCGTTAATAATAAAAAGACAAGGAACTGTTGAAATACGGACTTTATTCCGCCCCGACAGAACATTAACCACAAATAATAATGCCTTCGCTATAGAATATATTGACATTCCTTTGACGTTTCCTAGCCAAGAAGCCCAGTTGCGTCTTTAGGAGTAATTTATGCTAAATATAAATAAAAACTCACCGTACTTATGCAAACATTGTGTAATTAAGTTTATAAACAAAACACGCATAAATATACCTAATAAAAAATAACATAACGTCACATCAAGTGCTCAGATCATTCAGGGTGCTTGATAAACGACTGGGATACCGAGACCATCGATTTTAGTTTTATATTTTCATATAATTAAGATTACTGAATATTCTTTAATTAAGACAATAATCCGAGTTACTCATCTCTCTAATTTCTCTGATGATGTCTCTTTCTTCCCTGAAAACAATCAAACATTATTATGATTGTTTCAGAAGAAAATTATTTTTAACACAGGATCGCAAAATGTACATATTTATATTGAATCAAATGTTGTCACGGAAAACAACGATCAATATCAATTCTCCTTATTCCTATTAAAAAGGCCGATTTGAACATAAACGTTATAATAATGCCTGATTGACTACATAAAACACAGGATACACGGTCAGGTATATCACTTAAGCACATTAGATGTCCTGGCTATTTATATCGCTACACACAAGGTGTTATACCTACTAACAAAGTCAGTATTTGGTCATAGAACACCGTTGCCCTCTTTCTCTCCTAAAGAGGATGTCCCTGTTAGACCATAGCAGTGGATTCTGAAATAATAGAGCTATTTAATTTAACCATTTATGATTCTTTATAGTACATAGGAGTTGTTAAGAAGCACGGCTTAGGTTATTGAAAGACTCTATCTTTTACTATTGTTTTCTACATTTTATTATTGTATACGCGCGCGTACCGGCGTTTCCGCATAGGCGTGGGCTAAAGGTAGCGGGGACACTGTTACACGTAGCCCGAAATGCACGTTGCATCATTTCTCCAGGCAGTCATAAGCCCTTGCGCAGTGCCGAGAGAGTCCCATCCGAGTAATTATGTAGTTACCACGTGTATGATAGATCTAATGAGAAAATCTTCTGAGATTGACCATTTTTGTTAGCAGGTTGGTTACCACAGTACAAGCCTGTACAGTGGGAACCAACCTGCTGATAATGTCTAGTTTGGAATCAGACTGCCGTGTGTGAAATGTGTGCAGTTATTATTATTTTAGACAAGTAAATACATGCGAGATTAATTACATGCATCATTATTATTTTATTGGGATCGGTAATAATATATAATTGCTAAGTCTAGTTATAGCTTATAATTACGATATTTATTGCTACCTTGATCTTTTGCTTACACAATGAACAATTATCTTTTAATTAGTATAATTTCTGTTAAACAATGCATTTGTAATATGTCGAAACCAGTTTGCAGCAGCGTATCAGGTTGCTATTTTTGGATCTGAATCAGGATACAGTTAGAATAGCGAACTTATAGCCTCGATACAGGCTTAGCCTAGTGTTTCTATAATAGGTAAATAAATTATTATAATTATAAGGTAAATAAATAGACTTCAAATAAATTCATTATTATTATATTTTAAACTTTATTTCAAAACCTTTTTTTTTCCAAATCGAATGTTGTAACCAAAAACAACACCAAGGAACTAAACAGCAAGAAATAATTGGTATTGACATACGATTTCCTTCCCAAACCTATAAGTCAAATTTATATTACAATTCTAGTACAAAAAAACAACTAAACTAAACACTCGCTTATCTATAAATAGTGATCTTAATTACTATTTCTACTATAAACCATTGAATACCCAATTACAATTTATAATTATCTATTTACACAATTACAATGTGGCATTTATTTTCTAAGTCCGTTATCTATTAATTTAAATAAAACATAATATGTGCTAGGCACCTACTGATATGTTTCAAGTCGGTCAGTACTACAGTTTGTAGTATGTCATCAAATTTCAAAATCGGGTAGTTTTAAATTCATTCATATTCATATTTATAGGTTTGGGTAGGAAATCGTATGTAAATACCAATTATTCCTTGCTTTTTAGTTCCTGGGTTTTGTTAGAAGGCGATTTTATTTTTATTTAATGACTTAAGCTTTTTTGTTTAATTTGACTTCTCTGTGTATAAAATCTGTCCAAAAAAGTGTCACTGAAGTTTGACAGTTCAACAATCAAAGACAACATACCACTCTTTTTTTTGAGTAAGGAAAATATGGCTTGTTATTATCTTAATATAATAACACAATGTTAGTTCTTGCTTACCAGTGTACATAGTTTTTACTTAAGAGCTCTATTTATTAATGCGGTCAAAGTCACACACACACACAGCAACAGAGTATGTGGCAAGAAAATTTAACGAGACCTTAAAACTTGTTTATTACTGGTTCTAAGGCAACAACATCCAAGAGATGTGTATTAACACATTTCTTGATGAGACTTTGTGAAGAAATCTATGTCGTGTCTTTTGACAACTTCCTATTTACAAATTCGGCGACGGGCTCACTGTCTATCAATAACTTGCGTTTAAATATATAATAATATACATATTAATAATCCAGTTGAAAAGTTTGACTTGTACGGGCCGAGTAGTAACCCTTGCGTATCTACCGTGAACAGCTGGTTATTTAATAAACTGGTCAAGTTTTTATGGAGGCACGTGTACTACCTAGTTTACATAAATATGTACGGTATGTAGTAGAGTCCATTCTTACTATTAGCCGCCTAATGTGATAGGTTTTCTGAACAATATCTACAAAATACAATCTTATGAATGTTAGCAATATCAACCTGGCGTAAGGAAAATACGAAACTATGCAGAAAGCTGTGCCCGTATCCTTATTAGACCTAAATATGAATACATCATTGGTACTAGGCCAACATAGTTCTATATTTCAATGTTAATTTACTGCAATAAACTACTCTGCCCCTGCGGTCATGTCCACGAGTAAAAGTAGCACAACACCCGTATACCGTGACATAACATGGCCGTTCTTAGGGCACTGGAGAATAACACAATCAACTCCAGTCTCCTTTATGATTTCTATCTAACATTAGAACGTTTAGCTTCTACTAATAAGACATTCTTCATTGGTTCAAAGTGCATAGCGTTCCACATGGCAACGATACCGCCCATGACTTATCAAGGAACGAATCTGCTACATTAATGGTTGGTGTAAGCTATACTTCTGCCTCTCTCCTTCCACCAACACGTTATCTCATTGCATCAACATATCTGACTGCAAATGGTCAAAACTGGAGTTGCATACTGCGAACTATTTTGTTTCAACAAACTAAACATCTGAGTTCTAAGAACCATCACGGGGTATGAAGCCAGGCTGGGGCCATATAATGGCCAAAGATCTTCATTACTAACCAGCGTTATCTAATTGCATAGTATAATATAATAATATAATACGAGTATTCTCACACATTTCACACACGGCCGTCTGATCCCAAACTAGGCAGAACCTGTACTATGGTAACCAGACTGCTGATAAATATACTTATGTATTTCTAAATACATACATATTATAGATAAAGTACACCCAAACACAGAACAAACGACCCTGTCCATCACACAATTATTTGTTCTGTGATGGAGTTTTTTTTTTTGGGAATTGATAACAATATCTGGGGATTCCTTGGAAACCTTGGTATTGGTAAGTCCGTAAAAAGTAACTCTTCAACGACCTTTGATTTGGGTGACATTAACCGATATTTCACATCACTTCCTAAATTTGATCATCAAACAAAGTGTCAGACTTTAAGGTACCTGGCCTGACCTACCCCGCCCTAATATTAAATCTTCTCAATTCTCTCATGTAGCATCAGACGAGGTCAAAAAGATAATTCTTTCCATTAAATCAAACGCCATGGGCTGTGATAACATCAATCGTCGCATGATCACACCCATCCTGGAACACCTTCCTGCGCTTACCCATATGCTGAATTCCTCGCTCTATTGAGGGATTTTTCCTACACTGTGGCGTAACGCGTTTGTTATACCTCTTCCAAAGGTTCCTACTCCTACCCTTCTAAACCACTTACATTCAATTTCCATTCTTCCCTTCTTATCCAAAGTGATGGAGGCATGTGTAAATCAACAGCTATCACAGTTTATATATAAGAACCGTCTACTAAGTCCTTTTCAATCAGGCTTCTGAAGCCTGATTGAAAAGGTCACAGCACAACTTCCGCTCTCCTAAAAGTGATTGGTGACGTCCGAGCAGGAATTGAGGACTCTAGTGTAAGTAGTAGTAGTCTCTATGTTGGTTTTAGTTAATTCCTCGAATGTCACGATATCCTTCTGTTCATCTTTTCTTATCACATGATATCACCCGATGCACTGGTATAGTTCTCATCATATCTTCGAGGGCGCCAGCAGTCTGTTTGGATCGATGAATCCACCACCAGAGGTATAATCTTGACACCATCTAGATGGTGTAATCTTGACTTTGGTGTCCCCCAAGGCGCATTCTCTCCTCTGTTATTCTCTATTTTTATCAATCTCATCACTCAAAATCTTCAGTGTGCATACCACCTTTATGCCGATGACTTGCAGCTTTATTATCATGCTACCATAGAGCAAATAAAAGAGGCCTTCTCTATGATTAACTGCGATCTGGAGCGAATAAACGACTGGTCTGACAAGTTTGGTTTGTAAACCCTGCAAAATGCCAGTATATTATCGTCGGCAGTCAATGTTTGACCAGAAGGCTGGATCCACATAAACTACAACCTATAATTTTTAATGGATCAAGTATTTCCGTTAGTTCTTCTGTTAAGAATCTGGGTTTCTTCGTTGATAGCAACCTCATCTGGCAAACCCAGGTTACTAGCGTCAGCCAGACAAAAACAGGAACCCTGCGGGCCTTATACAGCCTCAAGAATTTTCTTCCCTCTGAGACAAAAGCGATGTTGGTAATCCTTCATGCAGTCGTCATTCGTTTAAGGGCCAAAGAGAGAGCTCTCCTCACAAACAAAAAAGCTACATCATCATTGTATTAATACCTAATATATTTTACGAATTCTGTAAATGTAAGTAGGTATATGTGCGTAAGAAAGTTTTAATGATATTGATCACTTTTTCTACCTGCGTTTTTTTTTCGCGTATCCTTGTGTGTATGTATTTCTTATTTAAGACTTGATATTGTTATTGAGTTTAGTGCACCTAATCACTCATCTCTACACCACCCCAAGGTAGACTGACAGAGAATGCCTACGGCATTAAGGCCACCTTTGTACATACTTTTTGCGCATAAAGTATGAAATAAACAGATAAATAAAGACTCTATCAGTAACAACTACCCATAAGTACCCTACCCAAAATTTGATACGGACCCTGTACCAACCCGTCTGGCCAGCGTGTTATGCCAAAACTTCCTTTCTAAGGAGAGGTCTATATCCAACAATGGACTATTAAAGACCGTTGATGATGATATTATTAGTTATACAGTTATAAAGGGTTTATACCAAACTCACTTTCGTTACACTCCTTGGTTATTTGAAACAAAAGTGAATAGAGCAAAGTGATATATTCCATTGAGTCATTCAAACTGTTACACAGTACTTGAATCAAGATCATAAGGTAAATAAGTACAAAACATATCCTGGTCGCCCCTGACCGTCGGACCTCAAGACATAAAATTGCGCACATGATATGATTCGGCAACGTTCAGCCGGGGTTGTCTGATATAAATATTGGTGTTTCAAAATTCGAAGTATTGCTCGAAGCCACAGTTGTGAAAGTTACTGGGCGTCAACAAGTCTATCTATTTTGCAAATAACAGCGATATTTATACATTTGCATAAAATATGTGAAACCGTTACTAATGATGTTTATTTAAAGATTCAAAAGGTATGATCTAAACTATTACTACATACGAGATATTTATCCTAAACTTAAACTTTTTGTTCCTTAGTTTTTAAGATAAGCTGTTAAAAAAACAACAAAAATATATGATAATATTTTGTTGTTTATAAATTTGACCTTCATATTATTTGCACTCGTGTTTACTTTTTTTCAAATGTAATCATTGAGAACTGAGGAAAAAACCCTTAATCTGCAAGTTTAGTAAGACTTACACCTAAAAGTGTCCGAAAATAATAATAAATGATATCTTGCGAGTATCTTAGGAGATGCGTGTGTTTACAAAGACTTTTTTACTAAAATTATGTTGTAATATTGCATGCAAAATGTTATCCATCTAATCTAAATCTATCTAAAAAAATTGAGGGTAGTAAATAAATAAATCTTTGACTTATGACGGACAGTTGATTTTTCACAACACTCGCAAAATATAATAACCTTCACCCAAAATCAGCTACAAAATCTCATCATAAAAAGACAGAATAGAGGGAGAGGCTTAAAATACATCCAACATTTTTGGCTAAAACAAATAAATAGATTAAGATCATTTTTCTACACTAAAGCTAACACCAGTGATATTCGCAAACCATTGTCCTAAATGACACTAACTACACACCACTTAATTCTTGCAATGAGGAAAATCCCCAAAATTCTGATAACACCGGCCCACAAAAACACAAATAGAAAACGACAATCCCATGAGTTAGGAAAGCCCTATATTAATACAATAGCGTCTAAGAAGTAGCTAAAGGCAACTAGTTTCCTGAAACTGAAAGATTTATAATAGCCATACAAGATGAAATTATTAACACCAAAAACTGCAGAAAATATATGAGTAAAGAGCCCACTCTCACAAACGATAAATGATGCCGATGTCACACTCAATCTGAAACTATACTGCACATAATAGAAGCATGTATAACACTCGCACAGACAGACTACACTCACAGAAATAATCAAGTTGCAAACATCATTCTTCAAAACTAGCACTTAAACACTCACTCGTACAAGTTACTAACGCGCATTATTATAAATACAAACTAACTATTCTAGAAAATGACATGCACAAAATTTATTATGACCGCGGTATGCTTACAGATAAAACGATAAATTTTAATAGACCAGACATAACCTTACAAGACAAGATTAGGAAGATCACATACCTTATAGATACTGAAGTCCCCAACACGCATACCAAAAACAATATCTGAAAAAATAAACAAGTATGCTGAAAGAAGAGGTACTCAGAATTTGGAAACAAAAAAATGTACAATGGTTCTCATAATCCTTTCCACGACCCATTTCATTCCCAACCATCTTCTCCGTAGCTTAAAACAGTTAGGTTTAGCAGAATTTGTTAATGTAAGATTGCAGAAAGCTGCCATATTATACACATGTAGAATCGTGAGAACATTTATGCACCTAGATGACAATACATAATGTACATACCACATGCTTCATATACTTGGTTTAGGCCCGTAAAGGCTGTAGAACCAGCTAAATAGCTAATAAAATGCAGATCAAAACTAAAAAAAAAATTCGGACATCTAACACACAACGCTATCTAGTTTAAAACTAAGCTAACTGAGTCAATGATAAAATTAAGAAACTTTGTAATGCTTCTAAATTACAGGTACAAATTTGATGACACTTAAGGATACACCAAGTGTTTGAAAATCAAGACTATTCAGAACGAAACATCAAGAGGCCCGAAAACGTCTTGAAGGCTTTGAATAAAGGACATTATGTTGTGCCTTATTTCTTTTCGGGCGGCGAGTTTTTTTGTATGGAAGAGAGGGCAAACGAGCAGTTAGGTCATCTGATGGAAAGCGACCACCCCCGCCCAAGAGTCACAAGTGAGTTGCCGAGTGAGTTCAGGCAGGTGTAATTATGTAGTTGAATAATAAAACTACATATAATAAAATGTGTATCACCGAATTTTGTTATAGCTAACATAATACGCTTCATTTGTCTGAATAGGATTTAAAAACTAATCTCTCGGGTTTTGCAAAGTGTTTGTAAAGAAGACAAGTTTTGCATGCAACCTGCAACGGAAAAGTTTACTTACATCTATAGATTCTTAAGATATGCAACATAATACAGTGTTACGTAATTATAAGGCTGCTACTGGTCTTAAATTAATTATGATTGTAATTCAACTATACAGATACAAGTGCATCATTGAACGCTTAACCCTGACCGATTTTCGAAATAAATTGCATAAAGTAATCACCTCTGACATTTTATTTTTATAATTAAAACTACTAGGGTATTTTTTAATACGTAAAAAACAAAAACAAAATACTATTTCTGAATGCCGAATTTACAACCGTAAAACCTATTTTTTTTTAAGATTCCATAAATATGAGTAAAAGTACTAATGCACTTTTTACTTTTATCAATAGCTAACTATTTAATTAATAGCTAATAATATATTAATAGCTAACCAACAAATTTTGGTTACCATTCTTAACTCATTCACTTTTGTAATTTTATAGTAATAATTTAATTATGTATAAATTTAGCTAAAATAATAATAAATATATCCCGTAAAAGGTGTTTGTAAGCATCTAACAATTGATAAAGTTAAGATTATATTAAATGAAACTCACATTCAGATAAAATAAGCGTTGCTTGCAGTAATAATAAAAAGAACGTATTTAATTTTGCACTCATTGCAATTATTTTTTTGCACACACGCCCGTTTGAAGCTCAGGCACTCAACTGATACAACTTATAAGCAACAAGTTTCTGTCTTATATGAACTTAGAGAATCGTCGTGTCATGGTCATTAATTATTATTGACATCCGCTTTTAATGTTGGTTTACTAACAACTCTTTAATTTGTAACAATAAAATGCTCTGGGAAATAAACTTTATTTCGCGGAGATAATGCTAAAGAATTTGAAATTCGAATTTCAGGATATACAAATTATATGATTAATCTAAAAAATAAAAAGTGAATTTCATTAACAGTCAAAGCATGCATGTACTACAATTTTCAGACCAATAACATTTATTTGAATGTGTGGTATAAGTATATTATGGACACGATATCGATGTAGATTTTTTTGTACTAGCTTATTATGTTACATTCATATCGATTCAGCTTCAAAATGACGACGATCACGATTATCAATATCGGTTTTTAAATTGGCTTCACTATCATCACCATCAAATCATCAGAATAGGAATTGAGGATGAGGACTTGACGAATCATAGTTAGATTTCAGCAGTACGCAATTATTTCTTCTTAACCTAGGGTAGTGCCAAGCTGATAACTTCCGTCTGGAATCCGAGATTTCATAAACTAAAGATATTAGTAAAGTACGGTAACATTGCTCCGATTCGAAACATTTTCCTCTACATCAATTTTGATTTTGACGACAGACGAGTACATTACGGACATACAGGACATTGGAAAATTCATAATTGTTTGTATAACATAGTATTTATTGAAATATAGTTTTCTAAATTAAACGACCTTGAATTTATAAACATTATCATAGTGCACTATAAAAGTTCTAAATAAAAATCTGCATCTTAATATTGTTAATAAATCTAAAAAAAATATGAATTCAAGTTTAGAGTATTTTCCTGAATAACAGATTAGTGCTTTTTCAATCATTATTTCATTGAATAGTGTAAATGGTAAATGACTGATCTCGTTTTTATTACCTTTGGGTAAAAAAAAAACATGGTTCTAAATCAGCGTGAAGTACTCGTCGTTAATTAATTGTTCCCTAAAGGAGGATTTATTTTTAATTACAAATTACTACTGATTCTGACTGGCAAAGTCATTAGCAAATTAATTTAATCTTTAGCATTATGTCATTATACATTAACGATGGCATAAATTTAATGATACTCGATCTTAAAGTTGTTAATAATATTGTTAGGACAAGTTTCGGTGGTTTTTATTAAATAAATAAATAAAGTGGTTTGACAATAATTTGAAATCACAAACTGAAAAGTCTGAAGTGAAGTTAAGGCAAAAAAAAATTTCTACAATTTAAGTTTTTAAATGTAATTAAGTATTTTTTTAAATTTTTGTTTTGTAGACGGGCCCCCCTTGTGGCCCCTACGGGCGCGCTGGACTTCATGACACTACCACTGATGGTAGACAAATTCTGTTTACATTCCTTGATATCCAAATTCTGGTACTGGAGACATAATCCGTGATCCATACTGCAAAATACAAACATTCCTTTCATCATCATCATCATCAACAGCCGTTAGTAGCCCACTTCTGTTTTGGCCTACTACACCACGCTGGCCAGACGGGTTGGTATAGGGTTTGTTTCAAATTTTCCTTTTCTTTGCGGTGCTGTTGTCCTGCGTAGTTTGCGCCCTTAGTCGGCTCTTATGATACCAACGGGATTAATAGGGATAATGACACTCCATATTCTTAATCTGTCACACGGATTAAAAAACCTAGCCCAAAAGACAACCTATGTGTTTTTATATTGTTGACAAGTTACTGTTCTGTAACTGTTCTGTTCCGTCAAATAACATTGGCTGTTAACAGAAGCTAATGTCATTTGACCTCCGCAAACTTTTTTTGATTATGATGTAAAAATCTTACCTTATTTTGAACTACCATATAGAATTGCAAGCCAAGCAAGGAGCCTAACCGCCCTGATTCTGGGGAGAAGGGACTCAAAGGCGGCGGCAACACTTTTGTGACTCTTGAGCTGCAGGTGTCATTAGGTGGCGGCAGTCACTTACCATAATGTGACCCGTCTGCTCGTTTGCCAACTTTATTATATAAATAATATAAAATAAAGTATTATTTTGCTTGTTCAACTTTATCGTATTGTTTATTTTTTATTCATCGATCCCATCCCCATTCTATTGATCTACACTTGCCCGGAGCAATCTGTATCAATCTTTGTGTAAAAGTAATATAAAACTCGTAAATACATTATTCAAATTCTAAAGCTAGAAAATATTTCATTTCCAGCGTTCAATACGAGCTCGCTGGCAGAAGAAATAACATTTAAATGTGATGTAGCTTAGTATTGTTTATAGGTTGGTATGAAAAAGAATGTAATAATAGAATAAAAGTATACTAAACTCGAACTAACAAAAATATATTAAAATTTACATTTTTAATAAAAAATCTTTGAAACAATTATTCAAAAAATTGATTTAAAAAATACTAACACGATTTCTGTAACTAGTTGAACTAAACGGTAGAAAATAATTTTCTATAAGTTAAAAAACAGAGTGATTAAGAAATACATAATTTTATTGTAAAACAGCGTGGGGTGATTCAGATTCAGATTGTTTATTTGCATAACACAGGTATTAATTACATGGTATTCATTCACAAAAGGTTCACTGTGCTTTACCACTATGGGTGTGCAATTTTTTTTTAATTTGTACATTTATAATTGCATATAATTTAAACTTAACTTAAAATAACCTATAGGTATATTATTAGCATCATTGATTACTATAATTTATTGTGATACATACAATGTCAACATTCAAAGTCAAACTATAGTCAAAATAATAAATTAATGTCAGGAAGAAAAAACAATAATTACAAAAAATAAAAATAAAACACTACAAATTGTTAGAGATAAAGTCCAATACATTATAATAACATTTTTTAATGAGGAGCTTTTTTAATTGTGACTTAATGTACTTTATAAGTTTAATGGATACAATAGTAAAACATACACTATAAGTGATGAATACCTATTTCATTATTAAAGACTATTTAGTACACGAATTTTCAAATTTGGAAAAAAAATTAAATTTGAAGATCCTGATAATTATAATCGGAGAAACTTTTTAAATGATTGCATTTTCATCAAACCGATTTTGAAGTAGCTGAAAATGAGGTTCATATATTCCGTTCCATACTCATAGGTAAAGCTAATGAAATCGTAAAAATTAAAACCAAAGGAGAGGCCCATGACCAACAGCAAACAATCAAAGGCTGTTAATGTGATGTGAATAAAATCGTTTTAAAAATATTTTGAAAATATACATTTCATGTTTTACAATTTTGCAATAAAAGTAGATCTAAAGACATTTTACCAACATTGGCTGAACCTATAATAATCACGAGAGAACATGGTATTGAACGTACAATATATTCAGTACTGCAACAAATAACCCTCCTCTTTGGTTTTGCAGTTAGGTATAGAGACAAAAGACTAAGCTGCTTTTTTTATGTTTGTTACGCGATATCAATTGTGGACAGATTTTAAAAATTTCTATTTAGTAATCGAAAGGGTATGCTCCCAAGGTGGTCCTATTACCACCAAATCAGGATTTGATGATAGAATCCTAGAGAAATCGAAGGAAACCCTCAAATTTTACAGCCCCGACAACGTGTTTTAGCTTGTTTCTCTAGCTTTATATTTTAGCTATTTATAGTAGTAGTCGTTATGTCATGTTGCTGAGCTGATGATAGAAGGATCCTTGACCTTTAATAGTTAGAAAATAACTATTTCCAAATCTAATCAGGTATTCACCTTGTTTTATTCTTTTAAGATATTGTTAGGTGTTTGTGTTGGGTTACAGAGATATGTGCACAAAATAGTAAAATATGAGATAACAAATAATTTAGACAAAAAAAATTGTAACGCAATTATTTTCATTAACCTCAAAACGCGCGGGATCGCGGTAAAATTACAAGATTGCTTCAACAGCAGCCCGATGTCTATAATGACCTCATAGACGAATGGCAACAACGCTTGGATGAATCATCCAAGGGGCGCCATCTTTACCAATTCTTTCCATCTGTTCGCGAACGGTTGTCGAGGATATGGCTTGAGGTGGATCACTGTGTCGCTCAATTTCTTACGGGTCATGGTAACTTTAAGAGCAAGCTTTATTCATTTAAATTAGTCGAGTCACCATTGTGTCAATGCTCAACACCTAACTCTCACCATGAACAGTCTGCTCATCATATCCTCTGGGAATGTAGTCTTTGGTATAATGAACGTAATATAATGCTGAATAGCTTGCAGGTGACATCTGGGGCGGTATACTATGGGGATCTTGTGTCAACTAGGGTGAATTTCCGTGCGTTTAGGCGATTCTGCCATACATATTATAGAAATCAAACATAGCTCACGTAGGACCCGTAATATTTGTGGCCGTGGTGCTTCCCTGTTTAAAAGGGTGTATGCCCATTTTACTTCATTTTGTCTCCCGCTTTGCTAAGGAGGGAAGTGGATTTACTGTATTTCCAACTCCTCCAATTTTCTTCTGATTAATTTCGTTGCGGGTTCCAAGACAGTTTAATTTCTTCCTGGGACTTCCCGAGTGTCATAACTCGGTGTGTTCGTGGGTCACTGCTGTGGATCCTGGTGTACAGGAGTTACAGTGGTGGGCGTGTGGGTGGGATTAGTCCCAATTAACCTCAAAACTCTTTTATTTGTAAACCGATTATAATTCTTTTTTTTCATTTCGAAGGGTATATTTCCTCTTTAGTCTCATACAAATGTAAAGAAAAAATACCACTCCTAGTTTTGGAAAATTAAGTAATGTGGAAAGCAATATATTTTCGGGTTAAAATGTGTCTACTATCTTACTACCTAATCTAAATACAGTAACGGACTTATTAAACTATATTTAATATAATCTATCATACTACAGTTTAGACATAACTGTACGTAGTGTTTCAAATATCAAACTTATCTACTCATTACAAA